AATGTCTCAATGTACTTGGTACCTATGTGGAAAAATGTCATATCTTTAATGTCTCATTCTATTTTTTGACTTTCATACACAACTCTGATCACAGTCAATAGGGGAAACTTATTTTTCAACTTACCCTCGTATATAGCCTTTACTTCATCATCAAAAGTAGTTTTGAGTTTACTAAGAGATAATTAGTGGGAGGTGGCCTTACAGATAATTCCAGCTTTACATCTTTTGACACTGTTAGCTTGAATCCTACCAGTATAAAGCCCAGTTCACACCAACGCATTGACCAATCAGAAGCGGTATTTTTCAAACGACGGGAGACCACGTTAGTTGGCGTAACTTCAACTTTTCACTGCTTGACGCATCAGTTTCAGGCATCTTTGTTTCAAATATCCAGTTTATGCTGCAGTTTTTAAATGATTGCACTTTCAAAAATTCTTCTTGGGGGGGGGGGAAATGTCAAATAGACTAATCTTAATAAAAATGTCAGATAATAATAAAAAATGCATATGCTAATAGAATAGCTTTATAAATTATTTAAAGTAAAATGCTCAAGTTTATTAGCAGTAATAAACCTTAATAACTAACCATAAATGATATATTCTTGGTAATTTTTACTGAATAGTCTAAAGCAATAGATTGTTATGAGAAAATAATGATATATTTTGAAATCCCAAATTTTGAATTTTTCTTAGAATCGATTTAAGGTTGCTCTTGTTGCCTAATTGATAAAACGTTAGCTTTTGGAGTTTTGATTCGAAAAGATTTTGGATTCGAACCTCACCAGTATTGGTGTTGTAATGAAGTTGGTATTTTTAACCCCTTAACTGCCGCTGGCATATATATACGCCTTGCTCAGCCGAGGCATTAACTGCCCTTCCAAACTACTATCATTTTCTTTGAGCTGTTACCCGTAAAATTATTCGCAAAGCTTTGGAATGTAACACCACAATGACCTTGACAAAGTATGCGAAGGAGGATATTATTTCAGAGAAGTGTGGGGAGAAATTGGAGAGAGAGATGTGTCTAAAGCGGTGAAAGTAATGACTGCGCGGTATTGGCTGGTGTTGTTTGAGTAAAACATATTTTTTTTATTCTGTGTCCTCCATTTTCATTTACTTTTTGTAGTAGGTTCCAGGAATAAAGAAAAATATAACGGATGTTTCAAACCCATTTATCTTTTTTGAATTATTTTTTTGATGAACTGCTCGTGCTTCATATTGTTACTGAAACTAACCATTTTGTAGACGCATATATGAACCAACACCTTGCAAACGAAAAATCAAGAACAAAATCATGGCATTCAACCAGTTCAGAAGAAATGTATGTTTTTTTAGGCATACTGACTTCACAAGGTATAACACTGAAAACTTGCTTTACACTTTACTGGTCTAAAAATGAACTGATCGATACTCCATTTTAGGAATCTTTTTTATTATACTTACATCTTTTTATTATACTTTTACTCAAAACATTAAAATTTTGTGCATTTATTTTTTTTCTTTTATTCTTTAATTTTTGAAAGTAAACAATTTTTAGAAAGTAAAACTTGCATTTATTTTCCCCGTAATACATCACATAACTATGCACACCTGTGTGAAAAACCGTGGCGCTGGGAAATGAATCTTGTATGTTTTCCGCTGCAATTAAGGGGTTAAAAAATATTTACCAAAAAATTTACCACTACTTTCAGAGTACCCCAAGCGGTTCTTCAATTTCTAAAGGTGAAGTATGAAAACATAGTTTCCCGCGAGACACCTTAGCGCAGAGGTAACATGCTCATTAGAAAATTCAACTGGTGCAAGGGGCTTGTATTGCGGGTTCAGGCCTTGCTTTCTCCCACCTTTCATGATGGTACAAATACACCAGTTTTTTTTTTTTTTTTTTAATCTACTGCGACTTTTTTTGGGGGGGGGGGGGGGGGACACAAGAAGCTTGCATTACATTTTCATTGACTTTAAACATAACTTTCACTTTGCGTTGTGTGCATTATCCTTCTTTTGACAATGAGCCTTTGGCATAATTCATAAGATGATCTGACTATTATGATCTGATTCTATTTCGCTGACATGAGAGTAACAAAAGCGATATTGGTATTACTATAAAGTTTCTGTTTTAACCTAATTTAAAAAAATTAGGCTTCTAGGCATACTTCTATACTAAAATACTTCTAAGCATTTTAATGGTTTCATGTTTGTTTTTCTGAACATGCATGATCATTTTTTGGAGAACTCGTACATGAACATAACCAGAAGTTTAATCTTGATGATAATTTTTCATAAATTTAAAGAACTTTTGCGGGAGCATTAGCAAACTTTCTAATTGTGGAATTCAGTTTTGAACACAGAAAAGAAGTATTATGTAAAATGCAGTTCCTTCAATATGGTTTATATAAAAGTGTTTTTATAAAATAAACCTGTAGGTAATGGCTCTTCATTAATACATAAATGACCAACTGGAATAATTACAGTTACATTTAAGGTAAAAAATATGTGCATGATATTAAGTTTAGTAATGCGGTAAATCCTACATATATTTAAACAAAATATTCTTTTTATTGCATTATTTAAACCAATTAAGGGAAGTTCATACATTATGCAGTTACAAATTTTTAATTATCATTCAACAAAATTCATAAATAGAATCTACCACGGGCATATAGAATTTTTCCGAAATTTCTAAGTAAAAGCTATTAATTATATAAATAGGGAAACAAAAAGCATTTTACACAAATTAAAAATACATATATATAAACTAGGAAAATAAAAGAAGGAAAAAAGGAAATAAATAAATGTTAATTTAAACTTAAGGGAAAATAGTAAGCAAAAAACTTTCGAATGATTTTTTTTCCAGTCACTAAACAAAATACTGATTTGTTGAGAAATGGAAAAACTCATACAATCTAAAACTGTCAAATTATGTGATTTATTTTGCAAAACCTTTAGTTCATACCACATTGAACACTATAAGACCTGATAATACTCTATATGAAAGCATAGTTTTGTAAAACTGATGAAATCTTCTATGCATTATGGATCCTACCAGTATCCATTATGGATCCTACCAGTAAGTAAATTAGTTATATACAGCATTATATATATACAATGATCCTTTTTTGGGGGTATCCTTTTCCTATCTTCCAAATGATTCTTTTCTGTGATATTCTGACAAAAATTATTGTTCTGCTTTTGGATAAATGGTTCAATGAGGGGTAGAAATTCATTGAAATGATGAGGTGTCCTGCAAAAGTAATTAAAAGAAATTACAATGTGTTCAAGTGCATTTCTTCAATTAAATTATTTCCATCTCCTTGCTGCAATCATCTTTCATATATTAATATAAAACACTGCATTCTGCTTGTCTTACATAAAGCAAGAAGTAAAATAAGTTTTAATCTAGCAGAAATTAAATTAATTTTAATTAAGAAAAGGTAATTATAAAAAGTCAAAATACTACACGAAAATTCACGTTTTTTCCCCCAAATTTAGATGTCAAAAGCCATCTAGGGTGCACGTGTGACAACTTTTAAAGCAAAATTTTCCACCCTGGTGTGAATCGACATATGTGGAAAGCATTTTTTTCTAAGTTGCCACATTTTGCTTCAACGGCCCAATGTGAACTCAGCTTAAGAAAGGTAACCAAGTGTCAAGAGCATATCTGCTTCTGATTGTATTCATTGCCATAGAATGTAGAGCACCAAAAAACAGTTATTTTAAAGGAGCCCTAGTGGGTTTTAAGTATATGCGGTCCATTAGCATGCTGTTTCAAAAAATCACCAGAGGGGGGTGTTTCATCAGTTTTGCATAGTGTTTTAGCAGCTAAAGAGATTCCTTCCCTGTGCAAAATAAAATTTTCTGAACTGGAGTAATCCAGATGGCTCTCGTAAAGATCCTTAAATTCTGAATGGGTTGTATAGTCTCTTAATTTTTTGACTGAAGTAGTTGTGTTTAGTTTATAAAGGGGCCTTAACATTTTTTAACTGGTCTTCTCAGAGATAATAAGGATAGATCATACACAACCCCATCTAGCATCGACCAGTCTTTTAAGTAATGTTATTCAGTTAGAACGCCCATCTTTCAATCAAAAGTAACTGCTAGGTAACTGAAGCTCTGACAGTGTTGTACATACATATAATTATAAAAGATATCAAGCTGAATAGCCTTGTGTCACTTGTGGCTGAGGGGTTAAGACCGTTAAATACTGGTAGTTTGACTGAACACAGGCAATTTGAATGCAGGCCAACAGGCTGTCTGCATGGATGTTTGTCATAGCTTTTTTCTTACATGTAATGGGAATATGAGTTAGTGGCCATAGAAAATCCTCCATAAAGGTGTCCCTTCACTTAGGTAGATAGGCCGGGTTTGCTTTGCTATATCAAAATAATCATAGCCAATAAGCTGTTTGCAAAGCAAGAAAATATGGCATGCCATCCTGTCAATCTTGAGTGTCATATCAGTTTCGGTTGACTAAGAATGTATTCCTCAAGTACCTGATTAAATGCTCTCTCAAAACTCATCTACTAGCTCTTATTTTTAGACTCTGAAGTAGGCAAAACTAAATTGTCAGGATGTATGAGAGCTTCGATACTTTCAGATTTTAAAAGGTAATAAAATAATTTCTTACCTTTTAAATAAGTAAGTAGTAGCTGCTCTACTGTGTATGGTAGACCAATGTTAATTTAATTAAAATTATTAAATAAAAGACATGAAAAAATGCAATAAACATTTTTTAATTGTAATCATCAAGATATAATCTGCTGTGACATGATCGCAAAACAAAAATTTCTGCAAAATTAACATTATAAAAAGAATTCTCAAATAAGAAAACAAAATAACAATTCCGTAAATCGGAAGCAATGTACTAAATAAATGCTAATTAAGTTTCACCCAAAAAAAAGGGGGGAGAAGAATGCACGAAAAATTATTTGCAAATCAAAAGCAAATATATTTCAAGTTCAACCTTTTTTTATACATATAATGAAGTTTTTATTTTTTCCCCAATAGACCCTTGGTGTTAACAGCAGCAGTGATAGGTCAGTAATCAAGAAGAAACTGAAGGAAATGAAAGCACTACTGGAAAAAGAAAGGAAAGCTCATGAAAAAGAACAGAAAGCTCTTGAAAAGCTGCAAAAGAAAGCTGAAAAGGCTAGGAAAAAATAAGTCATTTTTTTATTTTCATATTGTGTGTAAAACTGAAACAAAATATTTTTACTTCGCTGCCACTTCCTGAAAAGTGCCAAAAATGTTCTCTTGAATTATTTGTACTCTCCTATGTGAATTGAATTGCTCATGAGGCTTTTACTTTACTGTTTTTATGAACCTGTAGAGCTATTTTAATTTTTTGTTACAACTTGCCCAATTAGTCATATTAGTTCTGTTGGAAATTTTATAAATTATTTATATTTTAGTATTTATAAAAAGTATTTGTTAGGTTTTTATCATTTGCTATCTCTTTATTTGTAAATAGCAAAATGTGACGTGAATTACTGATATAAAAAATGACCATTTTATAACTCTTTTATATATTTATACGCCAATGCTTGTGTAGGATTATACACTGATATATATGTTTGTGGTTTGTATTTTTTTTAGTGATATTTATGCAGTCATTGGTCAGTTTTTAAGCAGTATAGTAATAGAACATTGGTAACTGCTGCCTGTTAGGCAAAGGAAGTTTCTTGAAAGTAATTTGCTGTTAAATTACACAGTGAAAAGACACCATATTTATGCATTCACTGCCATGGTACTCAAGTTTTGTAACTTAACTTTAAATGTTCCTGCTTGTGGGTGGGAAATTTTCTTTCCCCCCTTTTTTTCTGTATTTCATTAAAGTTTTCAGTTTTTATTTTAAATGTGCAATCAAATTTAAATTTCTTGTATTTTTGTATATTGAAATAGCTCAAAAGGACAAATTTATTTCCAGACAGATATTAAAGCTTAATAGATTTTTAGCACTTTCGTAGTAAGGAATTCAGAAGTTTGTGAGGAATGTGTTACTGTAGTCTTTCAAATTTAAAAGAAATGTGTTACCATGCTGTATGAGAATAAGCTGTTCTGCCAAAATCAAATACTTCATCTATTTGAAGAGAAACACATGAAAGTAAAATTTACAATTAGGCAAAAATGCAGCCTTAAATTGACCTAATTTTGAGTAAAACTTGATTGATATTGAGCGTAATAAAATATCATCTTCAGGAGCAAGAAGGATTTTTTAAATCTGTGATAATTTTTTTTGCCTAATTTTAAATCTGTCTGTTCATTTCATTGTATTTCTGCAAAATGGGAAAGGCAAAAGAAAACAAAGGAATCTAAGTTTATTATTTAATTGTGAAGACAGAAGTATGATTTACCTTAAAATATAAGTTTGAATTTTAGTTATAGATTTTTTTAATAAAATATACTTTTAAAACTTGTCAATCTAATTCACTGTTTGCTTTTCATGAATGATTGTAGAACTGCTTGTAATGTAATTTCATATCTATCATATATTATTTGCTCTTCTGAGCAAGAAGTTGCATTTTTTTTAAGTTTATTTTTTATAATTCGTATGTGTACATTAACAAAATGATTTTGTGCTGTACAATTCCTAATGTAAGGTAGTAATTACAATTACCTTTTTGAGAAATTAAATTTATTGCAATTGATATGATGCATATTAGATAAGACTGGCACATTTCTTCATTACTTATATTAGGTGTTGTATGGCAATTTTTGTTTCATATGAACTTTTACATCATTAATAGACTGCTCTGCTGAACAATTAAGGTTTCCTGGTTTCATCAGAATAAATTTTTACTAATTTATTGGAATTAGTGTGGAAAGGAAAATGGTTTAAATTTTTAGAGTGCTTTTCAAAAAATAGTAAATGAAATTATTTAGTGTATATGTAAATGCAGTATGAATTCTGCAATCCTTGTGTAGTCAGTTAGTTCAAGGGAAATGGGTGCTTTTTCTCTGTGTGCATGGATAAATTAATGTGGAAAACAGAGATAATATAAGGTGTTTTAGATCTTTTAGCTCTAAAGAATAGCTGTAGACATTGTCAATTATTTTATTTTTACAAGGTATTTACTGAAATCACATTGAAATAAGTCATCTTGTTAGAATTATGTGACATATAACTCCCCACATACAATATTTTAAAATTCATTTCTACTTTACACTTGTGAGTTTCATAGAAATATTATTATAACATTTCAGTTTAAATTGTGTACCTCTATATCTTGGTATGTATAGGGGGTATGTATATATACACTGAAGAGCCAAAACACTATAACCACTTACTTGAAAACGCATTTTGCATCCTTTCATGTGCATAACAACTGCGACTCGTCCCGGCATGGATGCCTTAAGTTCTTGGCAGATGACTGGAGATAGGTTGTACCAAATGTCTAAGCAGCAGTCACACAAAGTCTATATATTCCAATGGTGGTGTTTGAGCTCTGAGCTGCCAATCCATGACATCCCAAATGTGCTGTATTGGTTTAAGATCCAGCAAGTTAGCTGGCAAGGTATTTAATTGGAATTCATCGTCATGCTTCTCAAACCACTCCAACACAATCTGAGCTCTGTGACAAGGGACGTTGTCCTGCTGGAAGATTCCATTTATAGTTAGGAAAACAGATACAGTGCAAGGGTGGAGCTGATCCACAGTTATGTTGAGATAGTCTGCAGCTTCCATGGTCTGTTCTACCACAAGTAAGGGTCCCAGAATTGCCCATGAGAACATCCCCCAAATCATACCACCACCACCAGCAAACAGTGCATGACCTGCTGTACAGGGGAAAGCAACTGTTCACAGACATGACTGTTGACATGATGAATAAGAAATTGTGATTCATCCGACCAGGCAACTGTCTTCCACTTATCCATTGTCCAGTTTTGATGTTCCCGGGCCCATTGTAGATGTAGTTGACGAATGATGCTTGGTCAACAGAGGCACATGAGTGGGACCTGTGCTGCGCAGTCCTATATTCAACAGTGTCCAATGAACTGTGTGTTCCAAAACACGTGCACTTGGACCTGCATTGTATTGTGCTGTCAGCTGAGCCACTGTCTGGAGCCAATTTTGCTGTTCCAAGCACGACAATCTCAGACACCCTTTTTCTTTGATGACAGGTTAACATCTGACACTGACATCTGTGGCTGGTTTCACTGTCATGTATCCACTTTGCATAAATACTAATAATGGCAGATTGTGAACAAGCTACCAATCATGCAGTTTCATAGATGCACGTCCCGAGTCTTCCGGCAATTACAATCAATTACAATATCAAATTCGCTTAGATTAGCAGCCTTTCCCTTCACTCGCAAAAGTAAGTGCAAGAATAGTTCTTTACCTTCTGTAGCAGCAGTTTAGTACCATTCCTACTTAATAACAGGCCCTCCACATCAGCCAGACATGTTCATTGAAATATATGAGAGTAGTGATAATATTTTGACTCATCAGTGTGTATACATATATGTGTGTGTATAAATTGAAATTAAAAGCAAATTGAAGTCATATTTACAAACAAAATTTTGATATGAGTGAAAACATTTTTTAAATGTAAATAATTTTGTAGTAAAATTTAAAATAGATGACAAATTCAAAAAATATATTCAGATACAGCAAAGCTAAAATAAAATAAAAATCTGAAAGCTTTCAGATTTTATATTATGCCCAAAGGGACTTTTTTTAATATTTTGTGTATTACCCTTACTTGTTAAATATCATGTTCTTCGAACTTAAAGCATAAAATTCGACAGTAATATCACAAAATATTTAAAAGAGCATATTTTTAGAATATACGATCCACAGTTTCGTGCTCTGGAGATAAAAAAATTTTTCCGTACAGTGGGGCTTCCAAATGCCCATATTCGAATGGAGGACTAAATTATTCAGAATTGGATGTCTCTAAGTACTGTTGTTTCTTCACAGTGCGAGAAACATACATACATTCATGCAGATTCTTCATTATTTATTTTTTTAATATAATGCAGAGCTCTAATATTTGGTGGTAACAATTTGAAAAGTCAACTGACACTGACAGTTAACCGACGAAAAATGCCAAAATGAAATTAACAGCTCTTCTGGGCAAATTGCCCCTTTGGGCTTTAAAAAAAAATTGATCAAAATAATGTGAAGAACCCTTCTATAAACCTGATGAAAGAGTGAAACAAAATTTATAAAATATTAAACGATTTTACATTTCTTATGACATCTTCATCAGGGGGTTAGTTGCCCAAGGAATGTAATTTTTGAATTTCATATTATTTTTTTAATTATTGCCTCTAAATTGCAGCAGCTTTTGGTGCACAATTTGGCCACTGATTTATTATATTTTTCCTTTATTTTTATGTTATTGTAAATTTATATATATATTATATGTGTTTATATTAATTTTAAATTGTGTGCTTCTTCAATTGCCTTTTCATGGCAATTGTGTGCTGCTTCTTCAATTGCCACACCATCTTGTTTCATGTGAAGTGTAAAAGAGCATATGCTAATGAATTTTAGTCATGAGATGGACAAATTCTGTTTTTTATTTTAATCAATAATCTGCATGGTCTGTATCTGGATAATCACTTCAGAGCTTAATGTGCTTTATCTGTGTAATTATAAAATCAGTATTTGTTACAATCAACATGGTTTTTAAATTTACTGTATTGCAATTATGTATTATGCAACTATTTAACTTCTGGATATGTTTTAATAGTTTTTATTCTTTTTTACAAATGTAGTACAAATTAAAATAATCTTTATAAGAAAATGATTCTCAGCAGATGTATGTTTGATTTTTTAAAGAATTTTTTTAAAAAAGATTTTAGTGTTTTAAATGTTATGGTAATGTTAAATTTATTCATCTAATTCATGGACTCTGTATTCATAAACAAATGAATAGTGCATGGTGATTTGGGCTGAAAATTCCTGTCGGTCTCATATCTAATGCCAAGCAGGTGAAATATTGAATGTTTTGGATGTCTTTTCCTGTTTATTTTCAAATATTTAGATGAATCTTTTGCTTTTGTTTCCTAAAGTATAATTTAAGAAAAAAATTCTTAATTAAAAGTGATATAAAATATCATTCTTCAGTTTACGTATACAGTCAAAAGTCGTTAATTCGGACACCCATAATCCGGAAGCATAAGATGTTTACGGCTGCGAATATGCGTGTGCACATGCGCATAATACGTTTACGAATGCACGTTTAATGTATAACAGACGGTATAAGCTAAGCTAAAATTATTTAATTCAGTTAATGTTGCAGATTGCGTTGTTCCTTAATCTTCGAATTGGATTCAGCTTATTATTTTTTGCAGACTGTTAGAGCAATTTTATAAAAGTAAGCTTGAACTTTCGATTATGTCAAATAGAATTTCCGATATATATTTACTAATATGTAAAGGATCTACAAAGCAAAGGTATATTTCAAAGTCCATTAAACAAAAAGTGGAATTGCTGCAAAAAATGGATAAAGGCATATCCTTCGTTTCTCTAACCATTCCGAAATATGTTTATCAATTCCACGCTGCTCTGCGGCGGGGGGAACGCCGCAGCGCACAAAGAATTGGAAGTTGATCTGTCAGCACTATCCTTATCTTCAGGGCAGATGTTTTTATTTTATTTTTTATTTTTTTGGATTATAATTCCTTACTAAATGTAGTATTTCATCTCGATGTACTCTGTCTTTGATATGATTTAAATCAAATTCCTCATCATTATAATTCGCTTCCGATACTGAAGAAAGTGACGCAGAGGTTATTGAAAACGAAAAAATTTCGATTGACAAATTAGTCGATATTCTCGACACAGCAATTATAGGACTTGAACAGCGGAACTTTGTAACTGAACAAGAAATTATGTCTGTTTATAGAATTAAAGAGAAAGTATTATCACATAAAACGAAGCAACTTAAACAACTTACATTGAAAGAAATGTTTAATAAAGTAAACAAATAAATATTAAGCTTTTTTTTTTTTGTAAATGTTGATACCGTTTAGATCATAATTGTTCTTTATTTCATAAATTACGGTTTCATATTTTTAATCTTATAATTTCTGCATGCCATCTTACCAGATTTAAACTGATGATCTGTAATCCGAAAAAATCAATAATCCGAAGTCCCGACGAGACCGGATTAACGACTTTTGACTGTATATTAATAATAATGGAGGTAATATTCAATAGTACTTTTATGTTAGTGTGATAACTTTTTTATTGTAAAAGAGGTGAATGAAAAGGTTGAGAATAATTACAGACTAATATTAAGTACTGCATTTTGTGTTTATTTGTATTTTACTCGTATGTGATTTCTTACTTGCTTTATTTATTAAGCAATGAAGTGATACAAATTTTTGAGTATATTCATTTTATTTATCCTTAAAGGATGTGTGATATCTTTGTTCAGTTTCTTGTTGAGCTTTAAGATAAATTTGTCTGTAAATGCTGTAGAATTTTTCAAGTGTAACTTATTATTGAAAAAATAAGTGTTGAATTATTTATGATTAAGTGCAATCAAGCAGCCTCAAACAAGAAAAAATTTTAAGATAATAATGTTAAATTTTTAATTGTGACTGTTATATTTTTCAAAATAACAGACATTTTCAAGGAATTAAAATGTGCCATTATGTTTGATCATTCTTATTGTAAAATTTTGCTGACTTTCAGTGACCTCATATTTTTTAAATGTGAATAATGTTAAATTTTATAGTCCCCCCTCTGTGATGTAACCTAATGTGTTCTTGTAAATAAATTTTAAAGCGGTTTTTGTCCTATATTTTAAATAACATGAGTATTTGGGCATTTATTTTAGTGCTGCTGTAAATTTTGATGTAAGATTGTAATTTAATATTTTATTTATTTATTTTATTTTTTTTAAAGTTTTGTGTAATGCAAAATTTGAAAGATTGTCACAGTCATCAAAAATTGCATCTATAAATCTGAGGCTTTGAATGAGTTTTAAAGCATGGAATGAAACTTGATAAATTATAAAATTGTATCTTAAACATCTGACTTTTTAAAGATATCTTATGTTTTAATTGACTTATTTCTTTTTAAAAAAAAAATATGTTGAATTCTCCAAAATACTGCTTCTTTCATTTGTTTTAAATTCTAAATTATCATGAGCTGTCAACTTATGCTTTTTATTACTAAATCAATCTATAAAAATTGTGAACAAATATATATTAATATGTCAGCAAATCCAGCAGCTACCAGGGGCCTTCAAATTATAAGATCTCAAAATGGCTTTTTACTAATAATAATACTGTCAATATAAAAATTAATTTCAAGATGAAAAGATTTTATTGTGTACGTGTTAACTGCTGGCATTTTCATTTTCTTCAGTAAAAGGAATTTAAATCACTTTCTCAGTCATATCTGCCATGGTCATCCGACTCTTACATCATTTTTTATTGTTATTCTGTATATAGCATTAACTGCCACAATAGCTGCAGTGCATCCTGTCATTTGCTTTTTATTCCCCCATAATCTTTTTGACTTATATGTATTATTGTTATAACTAGCTCATTAATGCTGTTTGCTGTAAAAATAAGCTTATCAGCTTAATACTAGCTCATAAATTAATATCATAAGCTTTCAGATCAAAGAAAAAGTTTTACTTGAAATGCATGTTCTGGTAGACAATCAAATTTCATTTTATATTTATTTTATTAAAACTATCACATGCAGCAGTGAACAGTCACCAGGCTTCTGAATGCATCATGATTATATCAGTTCCATGGCTTAGGGATGCATGCTTGTATCTTCACATTTTTTATGTACGTATGCATGTTTGTATATATTGTATTACTACAGCTACTCTTATAGGGCTCAGAACTCGTAACCATTGGGGGCCCACATATTTCTTGATTTTTTTCTGATTGTAAATAAACTAAAATTTAGTCAGCTATTTCATAAAAATGTCATGTTTCAAATGTAATGAAAATAAGGTATAAAAAAATCATTTGTGGAAGTCCTTTTCAATAAAGTGACATCAGATATTTTTAGGCTTTTATTTTATTCAGTCTAGAAAACTAGTGTTGCATTTTGCCATCTTATCTTATTCACATTTTTTCTGTCTAAACCAAATGACAGCCCTTGTATGCTTTGCTTGAATTAAATAATGCAGTCCTAATACAAACATAGTTATTAAACTTTTTGCCTCCCATCTACTTAAAAAAAAAATTGACCTTAATCTGTAAACAAACTGAATATATATGCACTTGAGTGATGTAATATGCCAAGATCAGAATAAGCATTGTGCTCCTGTCTTTCTGTTGAAAAGCTCCATAGTTTGGTAGTGCTTCCTAAAGATGATCGTATATGGCATAGTTATGGAAAGGAGATTGCAGAACTTTGTTTCCTCATTGAACTGGTAGTTTAATCGAAGTTCAGATTATGGTCAACTGAAGGTATCCCTTCCTTAGGCATATAGCTCTTGTTTCCTTTATCCAAAGAAATGAACCAGTAGCTGAACTTGATTACAAACTATATAGATGTATGAATTATGTATAATGTGTCTACCACTTAAAGGTTAGCATTATACATTTACAACTTATAAATTTTCTGTGTTTACCACAAAGAATTAAT